CTTAGCGGCCCCGTCGCCCGTTCGTGCGGCCCCGCCACCTACTAGCGTGGCCCCGCCACCTGCATTCGCGGCCCCGCCGCCCTACGTCGCGACCCCGCCGCCCTAACTGCGGCCTCGCCGCCCTACTCCTGCGGCCCCGCCGCCCTACTTCGCGGCCCCGCCGCCCTACGTCGCGGCCCTGCCGCCCTTCTGGTGGTGCTGGCTCTGGGGGTGGTGCGACTGGTTCTTTGGAGAGCGGCCCTGGGGCTACCACCGCTCCGGACACTACTCCCCCCCACCCCTACTCGGCCCGGCACCAGGCCCGTGTTCGGCGTGCCCGTAAGGAGCAGCTGGAGTTAGAGCGAGAGGAGAGAGAGTTGGAGCGGTAGCAGCTAGAGCTACAGTAGCTAGAGCAGCAGCAACAACAACCAGAGCAGGAGCAGCTGCAGCAGCAGCCGCAACTGGAGGAGCAGCGGTCGCAGACGTAGCAGGAGTAGCAACAGGAGCCACCTCCTCCTCCTTTCTCTGGTCTTTGGACCCTCGATCTCCCCTCTCCTTCTCCTCCCTCTCCCCACTCTCCTCCCGTCTCTAGTCCTCCGCTTCCTCCTCCTAACCCCTCCCAGCTGCTTTCCCTCCTCCTCTACCCTCGTAGTCCCCTCCTCTTTCTCTCACTTGGCCATCAGGTTGCTCTCTCCAAGCTCGTCCCTCGTCCCCTATTCCTCTTTTCCTGTTTTGTTCTAGTCCGCATCGTTCATCTCCTTGTGTACTTCCTTCTCCTCCTGAGTCGGCTCTCACTGCTTCCCTCTCTACTCCTGTCACAGACTACTACCGCACTCACCATCCTGTTCGCTCTCGTGTTCTTGCCTCTCTTGTTACCGACCCACGTGCTTCTCTCTCCTCTGTCTCTACTCTTACTGCTGGAGTCACTGAGTTTGCCTCTACTCGCTACCTTGACTACACCACCAGTCTTATGGCTGCTCCTCCTACCAGTCCTCTGGCCGTCGAGGGTGAGTCTGCCCTTGGCTGTGACGTCCTAGAGGACAGGCAGTTTGAGATGGAGCTCCTGGCAGCCGCTTCCCCTCATCACTGTGCCATGCTACTCGCCCCTGAGGGAGACCCCGACGCCCTTGACATACCGACTCCTCGCAGTTACGCTGAGGCAGTGTCAGGGCCTTGGGCCTCTCAGTGGAGAGCTGCCATGGACTCAAAGATGGCCTCCTACAGATCCACAGGCACCTACGTCAACGAGGTCCCCCCCCCCTCGGGCGAACGTAGTCGATGGCATGTGGATCTTCAGAGTGAAGCGGCCACCGGGATCTCCTCCGGTCTTCAAGGCGTGCTATGTGGCCAGAGGTTTCAGTCAGTGAGAGAGAGTTGATTTCTTTCAGACCTTCGCGCCTACCCCGAAGAGGACCACTTTTTGGGTATTACTGCACGTAGCAACACAGAGAGACTACGAGTTACACCCTTTTGACTTCTCCACTGCTTTCCTTGAGGGTAGCCTACACGAGGAGGTTTGGTTGCCTCGTCCCTCTGCCTTCACTGGCACTTTCCCTCCTAGGACCCAGTGGAGGCTTAGGTGACCGGTCTACGGTCTCCGTCAGGCTCGTGAGTGGTAGGACACCCTTCGCTCTACCCTGTCTGGCCTTGGTTTCCAGCCTTCTTCTACCGACCCGTCGTTGTTCGTTCGTCTTGGCTCCACACCGTTCTTTGTACTCGTCTACGTCGACGACCTGGTTTTCTCCACTGCTGACAGGGTTGCTTTGGCTGACATGAAGCTCGAATTGCAGAAAAGACACACTTGCGCTGACCTTGGTGAGTTGTGCCACCACCTTGGCTTGCAGATTACCAGGGACAGAGCCACTCGCACCATTACACTCTCACAGTCACACATGGTGCAGCACCTCCTTCAGCGGTTCGAGCTTCAGCACTCTACTGTGCAGCGCACACCTCTTGCCGTTGACCACAGACTCACCGGACCCTTTCTTGACGAGCCATTCGAGCCTAGTGGTCCTCATGCAGAGCTTGTGGGCTGCCTCATGTACATGATGACTTGTACCCGCCCAGACCTCGCCTTCCCTCTCAACATCCTTGCTTGATTTGTTGCGCCAGAGAAATGCCGTCCAGTTCACTGGACAGCTGCTGTGAGGGTGGCGAAGTACCAGGCATGGGGCTTGTTCTTGGAGGGAGATAGGATGTCGTGCTTACTGGTCACTGTAACTCTTCTTACGCTGACGACGCCGAGATGCACAGGTCTACTTAGGGGTACTGTTTCAGCCTTGCTCTAGAGTTGTTTCGTTGAGGTCCACACATTCCTCTTTGGTCTCGACCTCTACTGCTGAGGCCGAGATCTACGCTGGAGCTATGGCTGCACAGGAGCTGTGCTGGCTGACGTTATTGCTCACTAACCTTGGTGAGTGGCTGAGCTCTGCGCCGACCTTGTTCACTGATAACAAGGCGACGATTCTCCCCTGTCGAGAGCCGCGATGGGAGAGCAGAGTGAAGCATATTAACTCCAGGTACTTTCTTCTGCGAGAGTTGCATAGGCGTGGACAGGCTCGCTTCGACTTTGTTGAGTCTGAGGCCAACACTGCATACATATTCACCAAGGCCCTACCGCCTTGTGACCACCAAAGGTGTTGTGTACATTTAGGTCTCGTTGACACAGGTTCTCGCCTTGCATAGTCTTGAATTCTCTCCTTGCTTTGTTTGTACACTTTACATATACCTCTTGTCAAACTTATATGCTATAGTATGTGTAGACTGTAGTGGGGTAGATAATATGGGGTACAACACTTTTAGGCTTTCTTACTTGTACCCACCTGTTTCCTAGTGCATTCATTCCTCGTACTTTTCTTACATGGTCTAGAGCGGATTCCCTAGTGGGACCGTTTTTTTTTTAAGGGCCCACCACTTGAATTTTTTTTTTTCTGCCCTTGCCTGAAGCGCGCATCGGGCTCTGCCCTACTGCCGCCCTTAGCGACCCGCCCTGCCGTCATGGCCCTTAGCGGCCCGCCCAGCCGTCGCGGCCCTTAACGGCCCGCCCTGCCGTCGCGGCCCTTAGCAGCCCGCCCTACCGTCGCGGCCCTTAGCGGCCCGCCGTGTCGTCCTTAGCGGCCCGCCCTGCCGCCCTTACCTGCCCGTCGCCGCCCTGCCGCAAACCGCCCTGCCGCCCTTAAGCAGCCTGCCCTGCCACCCTTGGCGGCCCGTCGCCGCCCTTAGCGGCCCTTGGCGGCCCGCCCGCCCCTTCGTCGCGGCCCTGCGCGGCCCGCCCGCCCGTCGTCGCGGCCCTCCACAGCCCGCCCGCCTCGTCGTCGCGGCCCCTTCCACTGCAGCAGCCGTCGAGGCCCCGTGGCCTGCAGCAGCAGTCGCCCTTGCTGCCGCCGTAGCGGCTCTGCTGCCGCCGTCGAGCCTGCAGCCGCCAGTGCGACCGCCGCTGTCGTCGCCGCTGCGGCCCTTCTATCGCGGCCCTGCCCTGCCGCCTTGTCGCGGCCCTGCCCCACCACTCGCGGCCTCTTCCCTCCCCTCCCGCCACTGGTAAGCGCACCGCCGCACCCGCACCCAAAAATGAGATGAGAACGCCTTTCTTGCTAATACTGTAATCATGTTGGAACCTGGCAATTTCAACCTATACTCCGAGCCAAGGAGATGTTTACTAAAATCTTACTGAGGAAGATTGTGTGGAATGTGAAAACGTGTTTGTTATCGCTTCTCAACAAGTGCTTCTGTTTTGTTTGCATGTAGTACCTCGCTACTCGACAATGTCCCAACAATACCCCTGCCACATCTCTGGCAGTTGTCGTACCTCTGGTTGGTTACTGTGCTGAAGATATTTCTTACACCTGACCTGTGCACAGTTCTACCTACACAACAAGGAATGGGCGATCTCAAAACGATTTGTTGTGGGTCGTATGACCTACCTTTTTGCCGCAATTTATATAATATTCTCAATTATTCATGATTGTCAAGGTCCTCAAGAGATGTACTGCCTTACTTTTGTCTGTTTGAAGTTCGAGGTCTGCCAAGTTTCACGTCTGGATGTTTTTGTCGATTTCGCCATGCCAAGTTGGCAACACTTGTTTTTTGTCCGAACCGGCGTGCAGGCTGCACTTCGCAAATTGTTTCGGACCGCGAATAGAAGCAGCAATCCAATCATTGAGGGCTTAGCGAAGTTAGTCCTTCATTTCGTCAACTCGCCAAAATGTGGGACTGAGGGGGCGATTCGGGCAGAGTAGCAAATCGGGTTGAAATTTGGCAGGTGGAGACAACATATCGGCTCGTTTTGCTCCCAATTACCATTCCCCAAGGTGGTGGTTACAGCTCCAGAACCTGTTGAGAAGGGAGAGTTGCGACAACGCTTGAATAATGTTTAGCCAAAGGGACGAAACATTTTTTCCCCCCCATCCTACTGCTGTGATGGATCACCCCTGAACACGGCCTTGTTTGTAACCCTAGCTATTTCGGACTGTCCAATGAGAATTCAGGTCCTCCAGTTTCCATCCAACCATTTCAGGCAGTGCAGATGGGAAACACACTCGCTCGTGCAAACCCCAATTTCAGTTCACCTCGCCGCGTGCTGCACTTCACCTTCCTCTGGCGCAACTCTCTGAAGGAAACTCCAGGGAGGGACTAGCCTAAACAGGAACCTGGGTAGTACTACAGGTCAGGGTTTCTGCACCCATGACCCACACTGCCCCCTTTCTTGCCCCGCTACTAGGGTGCCTCCGTTACGTACCAGTACAGGTATTAGCTCATCGCGCGGGTACAATTGACACCCCTCAAGCCAGTGAACCTGCTAGCAAAGCCGCCTTCATTTGGTCCCAAAACCCCGTTAACTCTACAATTTCCAGCGAAACCGTCTTGGCGAGTCGCGTCTGGATAGTATTGTCGCCTTTTTCTCGCGATAGCCCGTGAGCCACAGCTTGGCAGTACTGCCACAGCCACGTGGCTGTACGAGTAGTACTACTACAGCTACTATAGTACTAGTGTGGTGTTGTGACAGCAGCAGCGTGCTGAGTCCCATGACCTCAGCGCACACGTTCACAGCAGCAGCAGCCGCGACCGCGCCGAGAAGCCCCACGGCCATGCTGCTCGTGACGCGCGGGATGGCCGTCCTGTGGCACGACCAGAAGAACCTGCTCCTCGCCGCCTTACTCATCACCTCGCTCATCTTCCTCCAGTCGCCAATCCTCCGACTGTCGCAATCCGCGTCGCCCTGCGACGCTTTAATAGTAGCGACCACCTCCGGCGGCGACGCGATTGGTATTACAGCTTCAACGAATCCCGACTCGCCGCAAGTACTGCCGCACTTGCGCCCCGGGTGCATTCTATACTCGGATAATCGGTCCGTAGCCGCCGCCGCCAAGCCCGGAGCCGCCAAGGGCCTGGCGGCGGCGGTAGCGCCCGGCGGGTGGGGCGCGGGCCTTGCCGACGCTTCCTTCGAAGGGCTGTCGCACCTGCCGTACTACGAGTCGTCTCGAATCATCAACAAGTGAGGGCCCGGGGCCGGTACCATCTTGAACATAGCAGCGCCGCGCTACGACGTACAACTAGTAGTAGTCACTTTTCGCCGAGTCGTGATACTATCCACGAGTCGTAGTCGTGGTGAGATGGGCGTGGAAAGACGAAACGATGGATCGTTTCCCCTTTCGGACCTCGTAGATTTGGAATGAAGTTCTTACCCCAGGTTCCTCTCTGTTTCCCTCCCGCGGTTGCGCTTGGAGTTGGGGAAAATGAGAATGCTGATGGAAATCGGGAATCGGGGATTGGAATGGGATGGAAATTCGTGCATTCGTGGCAGGATGTACGCGCAGCGACACGGGTATCTCTTCTTCGACTCCTACTACGAGGGCTACAACCTCTCGCGCAAAGCCACGTGGCACAAGGTAAAACCACAGCTGCTCTGCTTCCATGTTCAACTACTTGTTCTCCGACCTTTGTAGCATCAGTAACATCATGACACATGTCTGAAGGTTCTTTTCTCTCTACTAGTAGTAGTCTCACCCGCCGCCTCATCCGCCTCACCCTTCTTCCCCGCGCCTCGGGCCCTCCTTCCCCTCCTTCCCCTCCCTCCCCGACTTCACACCCCCCCCAACTCCCCCCACTCACCCTCCTTCCCCCCGCCTCCCCCGCCTGGGCGCGTGCACAGGTGACGCTGCTGCGGCACGCGCTGCAGTGCTGCTGCCGGTGGGCGCTATACGTGGACTCGGACGCGTACCTGCGCATGGACGGGCACCGCCTCTCCGTCGAGGATTGGGCCGCGCGCGCCAGCAAACGGGTGAGCTGCGGCAGCCTGCTCCACACTCAACCACTCTCTACCGCTATCAACCTCTCTCAACCGGTCTCGACTGGTCTCAACCATTATAGCCACTCTGCTCAACCACTCTCAACCACCTTCAAACGCTCGCAACACCGCCCTCCACTCTTGACTGCCCTTGACCACTCTCGACCACTCATGACCACGCTCAGCGACACACTCGCACGCATCACCTTTCAACCTGCAGTTTCACAATCCTCCCACAACCACAGTCGCCCTACTCTCACTCCACATACATGCCGTTACTAATACCTTGTCCGTTCACAGCTCAAACACACCGCTCCGCACCAGCCATTGCACCAACCCACGGGCACCAGTTGCACACTCCTGCTACCGCCTGCTGCTCCTCTCCCATTCCCAAGCAGACTGCCTTCATTTGTTGCTCTCGAGTCCACCCAGAACTCAACTCCCAGCTCACCTTGACTCCCTTTCCTCTCCTGGACCATGTGTTCGTGGTGGTGTGTGGTGGTGGTGCGGTGGTGTGTGTTGATGGTGCGGTGTTGTATGGTGGTGGTGCGGTGATTCGGAGCGTGTGGTGGTACGGTGTGTGTGTGGTGTTTCGGTGTGTGCAGGGCTACTTCGATCGCCTGGTGGATCAGTCGAGCTCGCACCTGGAGGGGCAGATGGTGAATGCGCACCTGTTCGATCAGGTGCTGCACCCACAGCCACGCCAGGGGAACCTGCAAGCCTCAGCTCCCAGTCCGCCCCTGCAAACGGCCGGCCAGACGCAGCAGCAAGAAAAGCAGCAGCAGCAGCAGCAGCAGCAGCAGCAGCAGCAGGAGCAGCAGGTGCAGGCGCAGGCGCAGCAGGAACCACAGCAAGAGCAGGTGCAGCAGAATCAGAGCCAAGAAGCAGTAGTCAATCTGGGCAACTCCCAAGGAACAAACTCCTCTACACCTGCCCCTTCCGCCTCACGCAGACTCCTGCAATCACCCCCTGATGCCGGCTCAGCCGCTGCACACATGCAACATCCTGAGTCCTCTCAGAAGGCAGGCCTGCTCGCGGGAGGCAAGGAGAAGGTGCCATTCATGGTGGTGGCGCGCAATGGTGATGGGCAGCAGGGGTACGACGGAGACCCCCGGCATCTCTTCCACCCGGAATTCGACTCCCTCAACGCGGGAGTCATTCTTATGAGCCATTCCGATGATAGCTTTCAGGTGTGTGTGTGTGTGTGTGTGCGTGTGTGTGTGTGTGTGTGCTCCACGTGGCATGCCTTCTGGGATTGGAGTTTTGTGTGTGCTTAGCCTGTGCTCCGGTTCTGTCTACGTGTTAAACATTGCCCACCAGACCGCCCTATTTACTGCCCCATTCCCTGCAACCTTGTCCCTCTGCTGTTCTCTACCGTGCCTCACCTTCTCTCCCCTTCGCCGACGTCTCAAACCCACCTTCCTCTGCTGCTGTACGTGCCAACCAACCCCCCTTTCTCTCTCACCACATGGCAGTTTCTACAGGAGTGGTACGACGCCATACTCCCGGAATTCGGAGACCAGAGGCCCATGAACTTGGTGGCGCAGAGATGGCGGGAGCAGGTGGTGGTGGTGCCGTACTTAGAAATGACAGGGCCGGAGGGAGCCATGATCAGGCATATGTGGCACACCCTGGGCAAGGAGGTGCGAGACACGGAGTTGCAAAAGGCGCTGCTGGGACTGATAGTGCAGCAGCAGTTAGAGAAAGAGCAAGGATGAGGGAGGATGGACAGTTGCGGCAGCAGGATAACCAAACATGTATCACATTTTACAAGATATAAATAAATGCTTCTCATTGTCTTTGCAATGGTGTCCAAGGAGTCCTAGGAGCTGTTCTGTAGGCCCTTACTCGGACTATGCCAAGCCGTATGCACGAGAGGTTCGCTTGAGTGCTGCCGAGTTGGGCGGAATTAACAAGCCCAGTGAACAAGATGGCAATACCCTTCCTGCAGTGCAAGCTACTTGACCATACTCCCAAAATGACGAAATACGGTACTGCTGCTCATAACAGTAATAAGAGAAGAGAAGGATGAAAAGGGCAAGAAGATGGAAAGTGGAGAAGAGCGGAAGAGCCTCAAGGAAATAAAACACCGTCATACCCCGGATATACCCCCATGGGGGGCAATAATAAAGCAAGTTTTTTTTAGGGGGGTGGGCTTATAATCGTGTAAATTTATAAGCGCCGGCGTTTATAAAATGACATATATGTTTTTATATATTTTTGAACACCATGCTGTAGATCTCGTGCTTGCCTTTTCAATCGAGACGAAGTTACATGGGGTCGTCTGTGAAATTCTCGCGCGCGCAGGGAGGTACACCCAATCTGACTCACATCCAGCTCCTGACAGCTCATGACAGCTCCTGCTGACTGGACCCGAATCCAGTGCAGGGTCCGAATGTGAAGGGAACCGAATCTGCAAAACATCTGCCTGCTAAAGTAGAAATCGTTAAAGCGTTTTGAACACATTTAAAAAAAATAAGTTTACGTGCGCTTATAATAAAACAAGTTTTTTCAGGGGGTGCGCTTATAATCGAGCAGGGGATATAAGCGCCATATGCCAATTAGAAGCGCCAGGCGCTTATCCTAGGGTGGCGCTTATATCCGGGGGGTGACGGTACAGTAAGCCAATTGTTGTCAAGATAGCAAGCAGGAATGGTTGCATTGAATGAAATGAGGGTACAAGTACTAACCCTAACTTCGGGTTGTACCCCATATGGGCTACCCCACTATAGCTGACACAGAACTAACACATATATCGTCAGCCCCCGGATAGAAGCGCCCCTGGGGGTGTAAAAAACACTGTTTTTTAAGGGGTGCGCTTATAATTGAGGAATTTTATAAGCGCCGGCGCTTATAAAATGGCAAAAAGAATATATATTTGTTTTACACCAAACTGTATATCTCGTTCTGCCGATTGTAATCGAGTCGAAAACATATAGGGTCGCGAATCGGATTCTCGCGCAGCTTGGTAGGGAGTGATTCCCTGCCAGCTCATACCGTACTGGAAGAATTACAGCACATGCTGACTAGACGCGCAAAAAGTGAGATCGGAGTGTGGGAAATCGAAATTGTAGTTCATTTCCCTGATAATGTGAAATTCGTTTTTGAAATTTGACAGGTTTTCAATTGAAAAACAAACATGCGCTTATAATATATCATCTTTTTCTAGGGGGTGCGCTTATAATCGAGGACCGGATATAAGCGCCCTCATCCTTTTATAAGCGCCGGCGCTTATGCGAGGCCTGAGCCTCTATCCGGGGGCTTACGGGTATAGTGTGACACACCCCCATAGGCAAAATGGGGGAGAACCAGGGTGTGAAGATTGTAAATTGAACAAGTAATTGAATTAGAGGAGAAACCTAGCATACATAGTTGGAAGGAAGGGTTGGAGGGGAAGGATGACCCTAACCATAGGTCGGGTTGACCTCACTTGTGTCAAATGTTGTAGCCTATAGTGAGGTTTGCCTTAAGGAGATTACAAGACTACACTCAATGTTGGGTGCAGTCCTAACCCAACTTTACACAACAATTGGTGTACAGTCACATGTGCTTAGCATGCTACACAATATATTTCTAACACAGCCCCTTAGCATGCTAACACAAGAAGAGAACAACCCCTGAATCAAGGGGCGCCCGGGCGAGCGAGACCAATGAGGCGGAGGAAAGCGGAGTGGGCAGGGCGAAGGAGGGCCTTAGTGAAGATGTCGGCCAAGTTGGCCTCGGTCGCAATTTTGCGAACGGCAATAAGGCCCTTCTGGACAAGCTCGCGAATGAAAACGTAGCGGAGCTCGATGTGCTTGGAGCGGGCATGATATACGGGGTCCTCAGTGATATGGATGGTGCGGGCATTGTCAAACCAGAGAGTGGGGCACGTCTGGGGAGCTCCAAGCTCTGCAAGAAGGAAGTAGAGCCAGCAGGACTCCTGAGCGGCGATGGTGCCGGCGTAGAGCTCGGCCTCGCAGGTGGAGAGAGAGATGGCGGAGGAGCGGGTGGAGCGCCAGCTGATGAGGCCACTGCCAAGGGTGAAGCCGTAGCCTTGGGAGGAGCGGCGGTCCGGCTGCGTGTCAGCCCAAGAGGAGTCACTGAAGCCCGAGAGAAGAGGAGGGGAAGGGCCGCCAAGAGTGAGGGCAAGGTCCTTGGTTCCTCGAAGGTAGCGGAGGACCCGCCTGGCAGCTTTCTAGTGCTCCTCAGTGTGGCGACTGGTGCCGACGAAGCGAGCGAGCACACTGATGGGGTAGGCGAGGTCGGGACGGGTGCACATCATCGCGTACATTAGGGACCCAACGAGCTCGACATAGGGTGGGGGGAGGAGGTGGGAGAGGTGGGTGGAGAGAGTTGGTGGCCGAAAGGGAGGGGGGTGGAGACGGGCTTGGCCTGCGCCATGTCGAACTTCTCCAAGTCCTGGCCGATGTAGTGGGACTGGGAGAGGGTGATGGTGCGAGCAGGGCGGTCACGCGTGATGGCCATGCCCAGGTAGTGGGTGAGGGCGCCAAGGTCTTTGCACTAGGGACGCTGCTGCAGGGAGTAGGATCATGTCGTCCACATACACCAGAATGAAGAAGCGGCGAAGGGAGGAGCGGATGAAGAGGCTGGCGTCGGAGTGGGAAGTAGAGAAGCCGAGAGACCCTAAGGTGGCAGCCAACTTTGCATGCCACTCGCGCGGTGCCTGCTTCAAGCCGTAGACAGGGTGACGCAGCTGCCAGACAGTGTTCTCAGGGAAGGCTGCGTGGAACCCGTGTGGTTGCCGGAGGAAAATGCGCTCGTGCAGGTCGCCCTGCAGGAACGGATAAGAGACGTCCATGGAATCGATCTCCATGTTATCACGCGCACCAATGTCGAGGGCTGCGCGAAGGGTGGGGGGTTTGGCAGTGGGGGTGTAGGTGGCCCAGAAATCCTCCCCATGTGTCTATGTGAAGCCCTTGGCGCAGTAGCGCGCCTTGTAGACCGGTTCCTCGATCGGCAGGTGCTTTACCCGAAAGACCCACTTGCCCTCGACAAGATTGGCATCGGCGGGGAGGGGGACGTCAACGAAGGAGTCGTTGCGGATAAACGTCTCGCACTACTGGAAGATTGCCGCTATCCACTTGTCCGCGTCAGGGCATGTGATGGCCTCTTGGAAGGTGGAGGGAGTGAAGATGGTGGGGGTGGAGGTGGCGCCAAGGACGGGGAAGCCAAGGAAGTCAAGAAAGAGGGTGGCTAGGAATGGAGTGTGCTACTGGATGGTGAGGAACTCCTCGTGAGAATCCTCAAGGAGTTGAAGGGAAGGAGGAGGAGGAGGGGTCCCAAGGATGTGATCCAGGGAACGGGTGTGCATGCGGGGAAGGAGAAAGGGGGAGGAGTGAGAGGTGGCGCGCTGTTGCTGCGGGTGATGGTGTTGCTGCCCCTGCTGAGGCTGCTGCTACACCAACCGCTGCTACTGCCATCCCGGCTGCTGCTGCTCCTGCTGCACCGGCTACTGCTGCTGCCATCTTGGCTGCTGCTGCTGCTGCCCCGGCTGCTGCTGCTGCTGCCCCGGCTGCTGCTACTATTGCTGCTGCTGCTGCGGAGAGGCGGGAGAGTGATGGGAGGAGGGAGGGGAGAGAGGGGATGCAGCTGAGTGGGCGGGGGAGGCGGGTGCGGCGGGGTCGTAGGCGACGGCAGAGGAGGGAGGCGGGAGCGGAGCGGTGACAATTGGGAGGAGGGGAGCGGGGGGGAGGAGAGGCGGGAGGACGGTATTGGTCCAGGCGAGGGGGCGAGTGGGAGGAGGGAGAGGATCAAGGGGAGGAGTGGAGTAATAGGGAACGAGTTCGTCGAAGACAACGTCGCTGCTGCGGATGAGGCGATTGGTGGGAGGGTGGAGGAAGAGGTAGCCTGGAAAGTCGCGGTTGTGCCCAAGGTAAACGCATTCCAGGGTGCGAGGAGCAAGCTTGCCAATGGCGCGGGAGCGGTCGGCGGGTGGAATGAGGACGAAGGCCTTGCAGCCCCAAACGCGAAGGCTGGCAGCGTCAGGTTTGACGTTGGACCAAAGCTCTGTGGGGGAGGAGGAAGGATGCTGAGGGTGGGAGCGGAGATTAAGGAGAAGGGCGGTGTGGAGGAGGGCATGGCTCCAGAGGGAAGGAGGGGTGGAGGCATGAGCAATGAGACAGCGAGCTATCTTGGTGATCTCACGAATGCGGCTCTCAGCAATGCTGTTCTGCTGAGGGGAGTGGGGAAGGGTGGAGGTCTGTTGGATGCCGTTTTGCAGTATGTGGCGAGAGTGTTATTGATGAATTTACCCCCACCGTCAGAGTGAAGGCGACCAATGGGGCGTTTGAAGTGATTGCGGCACAGTTCGGCCCAGTTGATGACCATTGCCGGCACCTGGTCTTTCGTTTGAAGAAAGAAGGTGGTGGAGTACCGGCTGTGGTCGTCAACGAGGACGAGCATGTACCGATGAACCTGGCGGGAGAGGATGGGATAGGGGCCCCAGAGGTCCATGTACACAAGGTCAATGGGGGCGGCGGCGAAGGTGGGATGACTATGGTGGGGGGACTATTTGAGCTTGCCGTAAATGCATGAAGGGCATGAGGGAGAGGGGGAGGAGGGGAAGGGGGGTAAGACGGGAGGAAGGCTGCGGAGGAGGCGAGAGGTGACTGTGGTGCAAAGGGCGGTGAAGTTGGGATGGTCGAGTCTGTGGTGTAAGAGGACGGCAGGGTGCGAGAGGGTAGTGGAGGAGGAGGGAGATGGGGTGATGGAAGGGACGGGAGGGGAGGAGGAGGATGGTGGGGAGGGAGAAAAGGATACTTGAGAGGGAGGGGAAGAGGGAAGTAAAGGAGGAGGAGGTGGACCGGTGGAAGTACCGGCACGGGTGGTGACGTGGCAGAAGGATGGGCGAGGTGTGCAGAGTGTGTAGAGGCGAGTGCGGGGGCAAAGCGGAATGCGGAGAAGGAAGCGGCTAGAGGAGGTTTGGTAGAGATCACAGTAATTGGCATAACCGGGGTAAATGGCGGTAATACCAACACCTTGGAGCTCACGGTGGGAGAGAAGGTTGTTGTGGAGAGTGGGAATATGGAGACCTGTGACCTTACCGGAGGGGAAGGCAGTGCAAGGGAGGGTGGAGAGGTGAGTGCATGGAATGGAAAAGCTGGAATCAGCTCCATGAACCTGAGTGGGAAGTGGTAGGGGGGTGAGAGTGCCAGCGTCTTTCAGTGCGGTTTCAGTGGCCCCACTATCAAGGACAAGTCCAGGGTGGGGGAAGAGGGAGGTAGAGGTGGCACGGGATACTAAAACGAAGTCTCATTGATAGCAGAGGGATACATGGAAGCGACGGACAGTGCAACACTGACATTACCAAGGAAACTACCCGAAGTGTCGGGGACACTTGGGGGGGCAGAGGGGAGGGAACCCCAAGGGGGAGGTGGAGTAAGGGAGGCATGAGCGGCCATGGCCGCTATGCCGAAGGTAAGCGGCTGCTGCTGCCAGCGTGGCGGAAGGAACTGCTGCTGCTGCTGCGGCGGTGGTTGGAAGAACTGCGGCGGCGGCGGCTGCTGCGGTTGGAGAAACTGCGGCTGCTGCTGCTGCTGGTGGAAGTATTGGTGGTGCTGCTGCTGAAACTGCTGCAGCTGCAAAGGTGGGGAGGGGGTAACCAGGCGGAGGTGAGAAGGAAGGAAAGAGGGGAGGGTTTGAACATCCACCAAGGAGGGGCGAGGGGTGACAGAGCTCCAACGAGGAGGGGTGCCAGCGTTGCCTCGATCAAACCAGGCGTCGTCGAGTGCCTTGAAGCACGTGGTGGGGGGGTGGTTGGTTTGACCGCACGCGGTACCAGTATGGGGACCATGGCGGCGAACATACGTGCATGGGGGTAGAGTTCCAGGGCGACCGCCTTGCGTCACAGCACCACCAGCACCGGACAATCCTCCAGCAGGGGTGCTGCCAGCACCACCACTACGGCCACCACGGCCACCACGGCCACCACGGCCACCACCACCGACCCCACCACCGCCCCGACCTCCACCACCACCGCCACTAGTGCTACGACCTCCACCGCCACCGCTGCGACCACCCTGGTTGCGCGGCTGCGTAGCATTGAGGGAGCTGGAGGAGGAGGATTGAGGGGTGGTAAGGTTGACTATGGGGGTGCGGAGCTTGACCTCCGTGTCAATGATCCACTGGACCACGTCGCTGAGGCCGCCCATGGGGTTGGCCTTAGTGAAGGAGTGGAGGTGGGACTCGTAGTCCGGGGTGAGGTTGTAGAGGAGGCGATGGATTTGCAGTGGCTCGGGGAGGGCGGCTTGGCGTGCCGCAAGGCGATCAACGACCTCCTGCATGCGCCCCACGTAGTCAACTGTGCCGTCATAGGTGGCGAGGGTGATGGAGAAGTACTCCTGGAAAAGAGCTGATGTTGCAACGCTCAAACATCGCCTGGAGCTCGGCCCAAATAAGGGAGGCGCGCATCTCCCGAGCTTGGAAACGGCGCATGAGGGTGTCGGGGAGTGCGCTCAGGAGGATGGTGCAAGCGCGGTTGTCAGCTGGCCCATGCGATGCTCTTGGGGAGGTAGTCTGCCATGTCCGTGGTATACTCAGTAAGTAATGCCACGCGAGTGGCGCACTCTGCTGTTGCAAACTCATGATGATGCACCGCAACTTCATGCTCTGCCTTGCGAATGAGGTACTCGCTGCGATTGTGGAGGAAGGTAGCATCGGCGGCAGCCTGGAGCTGGGGTAGCGGCGATCTCCAAGGTAGGTTCAGGAGGAGGAGGGCCAGGGAGAATGGGGGGAGGAGGGGGTTCACCGGGGTGAGTGGGGGCAGTGGGCTGGAGAGCGTGCGGGCGACGGAGGAGGACGTTGAGAACGCAGTAGAGTCCGACGAAGGCGTCCTGGAGGACACGGCGGATGCTCTCGACGAAGGAGTGCCAATTGACAGCTGAGCGGTTCGCAGCAAGCTAGAGCTTGTCGACGGAGGAGGGGTCGATGGGAGGAGGGAGGGGGAGAGGGGCAGGAGGGTCGGTGGCCATGTGGGGGACGGCGGCGGGTGGACCCGTGGCGGTCAAGGGAGAGGGCGACGACGGGTGGACCCGCGGCGGCCACGGAAGGGGGGGGGGGGAGGAAGTGCTGCTGCTGAGGCTGGTGCACTCCTTCGGGTGCTGCTGCTGCCGCTGCTGTCAATGCTGCTGCTGCTGCCGGTGCTGCCGCTGCTGCCAATGCTGGTGCCGCTGCTGCTACTGCTGTTGCTCCCGATGCTGCTACTACTGCCGCTGTTGCTGCTGTGGCTGCTGAGCTGTCCCGACTGTTGCTGCGTGGGAGGAGAAGAGAAGGAAAGGGGGAGAGGGGGGGGGGAGGGGGAGGAAGAACGCAGTTGCAGCTGTGGGTGGGGCTGCTGCTGCTTGGTGGAGCGGCTGCTGCGACGGCGGAATCTGCAGAGGGGTGGCGTGGGCAGGCGGGGACAAGCAGGCGATGCGGCGGGAAGGGCAGGAGGCGACGGTAGGGCCGCAGTAGCGAAGATCGCGGGCGGCTGGCGGTGTAGTCCCGGCGACGGAAATTGCGGCCGTGTGGCGGGGCAGTAGGAGCAACGGGATGCGCGGGCGATGACGAGTAGATCGCGGCGGCGGGATGCGGGGGCGGCGACGATGAGGTCGCGACGGCGGGATGCGCGGGCGGCGACGAGCAGGTTGCGGCGGCGGGATGTGGGGGCGGCGACGAGCAGGTCGCGGTGGTGGGATGCGCGGTTGGTGACGGTAGGTCGCGGCGGCGGGAGGTGCAGGCGGCGACGGTAGGTCGCGGTGGCGGGTCGTGTAGGCGGCGACGAGCAGGTCGCGGCGGCGGGATGCGCAGGCAGTGACGCGAAGTTGCGGCGGTGGGACGTGCAGGCGGCGACGAGCGAGTCGCGGCGGCGGGATGCGCAGGCGGCGACGGCAGGTCGCGGCGACGGGGCGTGCAGGCGGCGACGCGAAGTCGCGGCGGCAGGACGGGAGGCGGCGACGAAGCGTCGCGGTGACGAAGCGTCGCGGCGACGGGATGCGCACGCGGCGCCGAGGAAGGCACGGCGGCGGTAAGGGGAGGCGGTGACGTGACGTCGCGGGAGCGGGAGGGGCAGGCGGCAATGATGCGTTGCGGCAGAGGGATGCGCGGGCGGCGCCGAAGCAGGCGCGGCGGTGGGAGGGGGGAGGCGGTGACGGGGGGTCGCGGCAGGGGGAAGGGGAGGCGGCGGCGAGGCGTCGCGGCGAGATGCGCAGGCGGCACCGGAGCAGGCGCGGCGGCGGGAGTGGGAGGCGGCGACGGTGTGTCGCGGCGACGGGAAGGAGGGGGGGGGGGGGGGGGGGGGGGAGGGGGGGAGGCGACGAGGCGCTCGCGGCGGTGGGATCCGCAGGCGAGGAGGGCGCAATCGCGGCGGAGGGAGGGAAGGGCGGCGACGGCGTAGGTCGCGGCGATGATATGCTAGGTTGAGCCACATGTAGGAGGGGATTTGTGGCTGTGGGGTGGGCCCATGGGAGAGAAAAAACTTGAGGGAGGGAGAGTTAAGGCTTAGTAACAACTAGCTCTATACCATGTGAAGATTGTAAATTGAACAAGTAATTGAATTAGAGGAGAAACCTAGCATACATAGTTGGAAGGAAGGGTTGGAGGGGAAGGAGGACCCTAACCATAGGTTGGGTTGACCTCACTTGGGGAAGTGAGGCAACCATAGGTGAAGTGGGTTGGGTTGCCCACACTTTGTAGAAGTGAGGCAACCCTAGGCCCACTTGGCTTGAGGTGACCTCAATTGGGGAAGTGAGGTACCCAAAAGTCAAGGGGGGTGCATTTGGGGGCTCCACCACAATTGGGTGGATTGGCACCCCAAAGTGCAAGACTACACCCAATGTTGGGTGTGGTCCCAACCCAACAGTACACCACAATTGGTGTACAGTCACATGCGCTTGGCATGCTGCACAATATATTTCTAACATAGGGGTTTCAAGACCATTCAAGAAAAGCAAAGCAAGCTCGGGGTGGATCACAACGTCACACACTCGAGCACAAGCAAAGGGCCACAAGGCCAAGTCACATGCAGAGGTATATACGCAGCAATAATAGTACAGTGATCACTACCTAGCAAGAGCAAGTATGGAGGTATATATATAGATCACAGTACCAGCAAAGTCACGAAGTGAGCAAGTGAGACGAAACAGGCACAAGGCCTAACATAGTACAGAAGCGCTGATGATCACCAGACGGAAGTGCCTTGGTGAATATATGAGTAGTGTTGGCCCGAGTGGCCACGTGAGCAAGACAAAGCTGACCACGCTGTTGCAACTCTCGAGCAAGGAAGTAACGCAGAGCGATGTGCTTCGTTCTGTGCTCCAGTCTGTGCTCCTCACACAAGGCAATGGCAGCCTTGTTGTCTACGTACAGAACTGGAGGAGAACGAGGCCGCTCTCCCAAGTCAGTCAGCAGGTAGGTGAGCCAGCGTAACTCCTGTGCAGCCATGGCCGTGGCGTAGATCTCAGCCTCACAACTGGAGCTAAGAACATAAGACGAGCGGGTAGCCCGCCACGAAACAGAGCCGCAGCCAAGGCTGAAAGTGTAACCCTGTGACGAGCGCTGCGTAGCCAGGTCGTCAACCCAAGAAGAGTCTGAGAGTCCAGTAAGGACAACTGAGCTCCGCCCTCCAAGCACGAGCCCCATGCCCGATATACTACACAAGTAGCGCAGTACCCTCTTCGCAGCATCCCAGTGCACCTTTCGGTGCCTGCCAGGAGCCACGTAGCGTGCCAGAAGGCCAACAGGGTACGCGAGTTCAGGACGAGTGCAGGTCATCAGGTACATGAGGCAGCCCACTAGCTCAGGGTACGAGCCACTCGGCTCTACTGACTCGTTCGAAGGTGGAGCTTAGAGCGAGTGACCGGTAGCCCGAGGAGTGGTCTGTGGCGAGGACCAAGTGAAGCCGAAGCGCTGAAGGACCTGCTGCACCATGTGTGACCGAGTCAGGGTGACCTGCTGCTCTGTCTCGGGTGATATGCAAGCCAAGGTAACTACGCAGCTCACCCAGGTCTGTGCACGTGCATCTCTTCTGCAGCTCCGACTTCACAAGGGCGAGAGCCTCAGTGTCAGAAGTGGCAAAGACCAAGTTGTCGACGTACACGAGGATGTAGAACGGCCATAGTGAAGTGTCGTTGTGTAGAAATAGCGACGGGTCAGCAGTGGAAGGGGCAAAACCAAGAGCCGCAAGTGTCGTCCTCAATGTGTCGTCCCACTCACGAGGCGCCTTACGGAGAATGTAGACTGGCCGCCGGAGGCTCCGCTGGGTACCAGGAGAGAACGACCCAGTGAAGCCAGGTGGGCGGCGCAGTCAGATCTCCTCGTGCAGATTGCCCTGTAAGAACGCAGTGCTGAAATCCAGAGAGTGAAGCTCGTAGTCACGCTGAGCGGGAACGTGCAGCAGCACCTGAAGAGTGGTCATCTTTGGGGTGGGGGAGTTCTTGAAGAAGTCAACTCCCTGTCGCTGACTGAAGCTTCATGCAACGTAACGAGCCTTGAAGACAGGCAGAGAACCCGGCGGCTGCTTCACCCTGAAAATCCACATGCGAACAACGATGTTCGCCCCAGGAGGGGGAACCTCGTCGACGTAAGTGCCTATGGACTTCCAGGATGTCATCTCTGCGTCCATGGCTGTCTGCCATTGAGAGGAGGAGGGACCCGCGATCGCCTCAGCATAAGAACGTTGAGTCGGGATGTCTGGGTCTCCCTCAGGGGCAAACAGCATGGCCACGAGATGAGGCGCAGCGGTCGCAAGACACTCGAAGTCCTCCTGCCTGTCCTCAAGGATGTCAGTGCCAAGAGCACACTCACCCCCGACGGACGGAGGACAGTCAGACTCAGACTCAGCAACAAGACTAGCAGTGTTGTCTAGAGAACAGGCAGCAGCAAAGTCAACAAGCTCAGAGACTAAGGCAGATACAGCAACAGACTCAAACGACGGGTCAATGACAATAGTGGCGAGCAGACGCGTGACAATAGGGTGAGCAGCACCAACCAGGTCTGACTCAGGGTCATGAACTTCAGGCAGAGAAGACGCAGAAGGAGACGGTAGGGGAACACGCTGTGGAACAGAGGAAAGACAAAATGCCATAGCGTGTGTGCCAAGGACAGGAGGCGGACGCTCACGAGGAACACGACGATCAGAGCGACCAGCGCGAACAGGCGAGGCAGGACGAGACGCAAGCTCACGACGCTCTGTTAGCAAGTCTATCTGCTCGGTGTAAGGAGAAGGAGCAGGCAGTGGTGCGCCGTGTCAGAACATTATAACTTATGCATTTGTGTAGGTTGTAGTGGGGTAGCCCATAAAGGGTACAACCCAATTAGGGTTAGTACTTGTACCCAACTCTTTCATAGTTCTCTCATTCTCATTTCAGTTTTCTCATGGTATCGAGCAGGTTCCCTCGTGGGAACTGTTCCTAGGGCCCACCAATACGATTTTTGTTTCCTGCCCGGAGCGCGCTCAGCCCTTGCTCGAGTCACGCTCCCCCCTTTTCTCACTGTGTCGCGCCGCCCTGGCGGCTGTGCCGCGCCGCCCTTGACGGCCCCGATCCGCCGCCCTAGCCGCCCCGTCGCGTACCCCGCGGCCCTCGAGCCGCCCTTCCCGGCCTCGATTCGCCGCCCTTTCGGCCCCATCGCCTACCCCGCGGCCCTCGCACCGCCCTTTCCAACCCAGCCCCGCCCTTGCTGGCTCCGTCGCCTACCTGCGGCCCCGACGCCTACCTGCGGCCCCGTCGCCTACCTGCGGCCGCGTCGCCTACCTGCGGCCCCGTCACCTACCTGCGGCCCTGTCGCCTCCTTGCGGCCCCGGCGCTGCCCTTCCCGGCCCCGACGCCGTCCTTCGTGACCCGGTCCTGCCCCTCCTGGCCCCGTCGCCTAGCCCTGCGGCCTCGTCACTGCTCTTCCCGGCTCAGGCGCCGCCCTTTCTCGGCCCCGCGGCCGCCCTTCCCGACCCAGCCCAGTCTCTGCTGGCCCTGTCGCCTACCCTACGGCCCCGGCGCCGCCCCTTCCCGGCCCCGGCCCAGCCCCTGCTGGCCCCGTCGCACGCCCTTCCCGGCCCCGACCCCGCCTTCACGCGGCCCCGCCGAGCCGCTGCCGAGCCGCCAGCGCCACCCGAGCCGCCCGAGCCGCCACGCCACCAGAGCCGCCGAGCTGCGTGAGCCGCCCGAGCCGCCCGAGCCGCAGAGTAGCCGAGCCGCCGAGCTGCACTTCCTGCCGAGCCGCCGAGCTGCAGTTCCTGCCGAGCTGCCAAACCGCCGAGCCGCCCTGTCCGGTAAGAGCAGCGCCTCTGTCACTGCACTGCCCTTACCCCACTGTTCGCGCTACTAGTCTACTGCTGTCATGGCTACCCCTAGTGTCCTCGCTTTTGACGCAGAGGATCGGGCCATTGACTTTGATGTCTGGGTAGATAACCTGCAGCTTTTCCTACAGTGCGATAGGGCAGAAGGTCTCTCCCTCTTTGACCTCACCTCTGGTGCCTCTCCTGCCCCTGCTGCTGATGCTGACGCCACTGTTTGCTCACAGTGGGCCACACGCGATGCTGCTGCACGTCTTGCTGTGCGTCACCACCTGCCTACCTCTGAGCGCGCGCACTTTAGCCAGTACAAGAGTGCTCAGACCTTGTACGACGCTGTAGTTGCACGCTACTCCTCCCCTGCCACTGCTGCACTGAGCCGCCTCATGCTACCGTACCTCTTCCCTGACCTTGCTGCCTTTCCCACAGTCGCTGACCTCATTACGCACCTCCGCACTAGTGACACTCGCTACCACGCTGCGCTTCCTGCTGACTTCTGCGCCAATAACCCCCCACCCCCCCCATGTACATCACCCTCTACTACATAGTCACCCGCCTCCCTAACTCCCTTCGCGTAGTTAGGGACCACTTCCTCTTAGTTTGCCCCACCACCCTCACCGTTGACCTCCTCGAGAAGGCCCTCCTAGCAGCGGAGAAGAGCATAGTCGCTGTAGGAGCCTCACGTGGTGACCCTCGCACCCCCATCTTTGAGGGGTGTTCCCCCTCCCCCCTTTTGCCCTCTGATGCCTCTGCTGCTGCGGCCGACCTCGTTGGGCTTGAGTCGGTCGGTGCGGCGTCTACCCCTAGCGGGAGACGCCGCCCTGGCAAGGGCAAGGGGGGCAGGGGCACTGGAGGCGCTAGCGAGGGCGGTGGAGGCGGCGGTGGAGGCAGCGGAGGGAGTGGGGGTGGCGGTGGGGGTGGTGGCGGGGGTGGAGGTGTCGGTGGCGGCAGTGGAGGCGGAGGCGGCGGCAGTGGCGGTGGGAGCGGAGGTGGCGGAAGTGGCGGTGGTGGAGGAGGCGGTGGCGGAAGAGGTGGAGCTGGTCGGGGTGGCGCTGCGCAGAGGGTCGGCTCCGGTGGTGGTCAGCGCCAGCAGCAGCAGCAGCAGCGTTCTCGGGACATCCCCCCCCCTCAGCAGCTCCGTAAGTGGTACGCTGCGCGTCAGCGTGGTGGGGGTTTTGGTCCGTGCACCTACGTCCTTCGCACCGGCGACCGCGCGGGTGAGCAGTGTGGGGGTGCCCACTCCACCCAGCGCTGCTTTGGCCGCCTGACGGACGCTTGGCGTCACCAGTTCCCGGAGGCCGCTGAGATCCCCCGCTGGGGAGAGCTGTCTAGGGCAGGTGTAGCTATCTTTGATCTTGACTTTGATGCTATTCTTGC